TCTGAATGTTTTTTCAGGTGAATGGATAATTTTTGTTGAACACTGAAACGCTTTCCACAGGTCAAACACAAAAAAGGTTTCTTACTTGTGTGAATTCTCATATGATTGGATAAAGGTTGTTTTTTGTTGAAATTTTTTCCACACACCACGCAGGGAAACGTCTTTGCATTCGTGTGAATCTTAATATGATTAGATAAATTATATCTTTGACCAAAACGTTTACCACAGGTCAAACAGGAGAATGGCTTCTCACCTGTGTGAAGCTTCATATGATTAGATAAATTATATCTATGACTGAAACTTCTTCCACAGGTGTTGCAGGAATAAGGTTTCTCACCCGTGTGAATTCTCATGTGATCAGTTAAATGACATTTTTGAGTGAAACTTTTCCCACAGGTTATACATGAATATGGCTTCTCACCTGTGTGAATTCTCACATGTTTAGCTAAACCATCACTTCGACTGAAGCTTTTTCCACAGGTCACACAAGAAAAAGACTTCTCCCCTGTGTGAATTTTTGTATGATCAGACAAAACGTTTCTTCGACTGAACCCTTTTCCGCAGATCGTGCACAAAAAAGGTTTCTCGCCGGTGTGAATTCTAATGTGATCAGTTAAAGTAAATTTTTGTGTGAAACTTTTACCACAGGTGATACAGGTAAACGGTGTCTTATTTATATTCTGGGTCTTTGGTATCGAACTTTGTTCACAGGTCACACTGGAAACAGGATTTTCAAACGAATGATTCGTAATTATTATAAACACGTTACCATTTTGAGAAACATTTTCACTTGACGTTTCATGCAAATACAGTACATGATTCTGAATCTCGTCTCCATTTTGTTTTAAACCCTCCTCATGCTTTACAGTTTCCTGACAACCGTTTTCTCCTGCTGATTCTGAGCTTTTAGGATTGCTTATTTCCTCATTCTTATTCTCCACTTTAACACAATCTTGAGAGACCAGCTTGTCTCTGTTCGGTTCAGTGTTCAGAATCTCCTGCTTCAACTCCTTCTGCTCCTCATCATGACTTGTGGACAGATCCTTTTCTTCTTTAATATGCAGATATTCTAGATCATCATGTTCTTCTTTTATCTTCAGAGGGCCTGGTTCCTCCTGTTTGAAACTACAGTTTCTTTCTTGGTCACAGATCTGTTGGTCGGCAAGAACCTCCTCCTCCTTCTTCACAGGGTGCTGTAGTGAGTCTGGAAACCAAAAAACAAATTATTTTTTCTTTTTTTAATATAGGTGAAGATGCTCTGAAATATATTAGAACCTACAATTGCAAGGGGTTTTAACTGAAATCATTGAAAACGTTAATCAAACATCTTGTCTATTCCTCCTGTAGCAAATATCAGGGCTTTATCATATTGTTTTATAATATAATCAATCTGTTTATCTGTTAGTGATATGCACAAGCACTAAACTGTCATCAAATGGGTTTGCACCTTTGTGTTATAATTTTTAGTTAAGCCAGATCAGAATCAGATTTATAGCCAGGTAGGTTTGCACTTACAAGGAATTTGAATTGGTGCTGATGGTGCAGACAAATTTTATATAAAGAATCTATAGCTTTATACAATATAAAACATACAATATATAGTACCTATGTCCAATATACACAGTGGCTGTGCGTTAATGTAATGCAGGAGATCTGGAGATGCTACCTTGGTGTAGCTTTTAGGTTCTGAACGGGGGAGGGAGAGAGGCAGTGTAACAGGGGTCTCTGGACCTTGTTAATAAGGCTGGTAGTGGATGGGAAGCAACTATTCTTGTTACGTGAGGTTTCGGTCCTGATGGACCGCAGCCTCCTGCCAGAGGGAAGTTGCTGAAATAGTTTGTGGCTGGGGTTTGAGGGAACAGCCACAATTTTTCCTGCACTATAAGCTGCTAAAGATAGTGAGCATGTTACCCATTTGACTGTCATGAAGGACCAGCACACCTGATTTCAGTTGACAGCAAAATAACAGGCTTTGCTGAAAGTTTTCTAAACCTGAAATCAGTGAAAAGAAGTTTTCCATTTCAGCAACAGAGTTTACTCCACGTCTGCATCTGTTACCGTAGAAACATTCCGCCTAAAGCTAACCTGGTCAGGAGCAGGTTTGCTTTTATAATCTGAGTGTCCTCTGTCTCTGCCCTCCTTAAAGCCATTTATGTTGTTTTATTTCCTGATTTAATCAGCAGAGGTTTGTCGTAGTTTAGTGTGAAAGATAAAATAGAGAGTTTAGGTGTTAAAAACACAAACATAGCATGTCCTTTTGGCAAATATCCAATTAAAGGATGAGTGACATTAATTCAAAGAGAATTAAATATTTAGTTGTAGAGGGTCTTAGACTGTGTTTAGATTTCATTTCATGATCCGTTATCTTTATGAGCGCTACCATTTCATCTCATAATCCATCACATACATCAACAATAGGGTCGTAAATAGAGATTATTTTGCAAAATGATTAATCGATTAATAATCAGATAGCAAAAGGATTCTTAAAGAAATTAAACCAGGTGAAACTAAAATGTTCTGTATAGTTTACTGACAGATGAAAACATTTTTTTATATCTTAAATACAAAATGTTAATTTTTTTTTTACAGTCTTGATATAATTACTGTTCTAAGAGGGTTGCTCTTTCACCTACAAATCATTTTTTACCCTCGTTTTTTTTTTTTTTTTTTCCCAACCCCTGTTTCTTTGTGTGGTGTGTTTCCTTTAAATCGCTTGCCATCAGGCACCAGTTAAGTTGTCTTGTTGTACCAGACCCTGTCTTTCTGAAAAACCTGAAGATAAACCTGTTGCTTTTCCTTTGCTGTAGACATCAACTCCTCTGGAAGGTTTGCAGCTAGTCATTTTACTGTTAGCATTAACAGCAGAGATCAATCAGGAAATTATTGAGCCATTTACAGAGGTAACTTAAGATCAAGATAAGAGAAAGGGAGGAGTCATACAGGATGGTCAAGGATGAAGGATGAGGAAGACGTGATTCAAGGCGAGGATGGATCAGACAGATGCAGGAATAAAGTTCCTCAACAGGTTCAGTTAAGTAACAAACTACATCCTTATCTTCTTCACAGTCACCCTGCCCTCATGTTTCCTCCCATACTTGAAATATTTTATCCTCCACTTCTACTATAGACCGTCCTGCTTCTATCAGTTTAGCAACTGATTAAGACCCAAAAACATTATTGAAGTTTGAATTTAAATACTTTAAATTCAAATTTTTAACTACGACCATTTAATTTTCCTCCCCCATTTTTGCTTTGGCCTATTGAGCTCTACATAATGTGTTATAAGAATAATATCTGATTATTTACTAGGGGTGAGTATTGGCAAGGGTGTTGCACTACGATATTTGGGTCACAATATAATAATATCACATATTGTAATATTTTTCCTGCTATCAAAATTAAATGTATAGATAAAAAAAGCAACCTCTGTATTTGTTAATCGGATGATATTGATCGTTCAGTTATTTTGGTATCCATGTTGCGTCAGTCCACATCTTCCACTGTGACTGTCAGAGGAAGCCCATTTTCCCTCAGTTTTAGGTTAAAATGTTTTGCTTAAAATAATCGATACTAGGAACTAAAGAAAAAACAATATTATATATCAGACACCCAAAAAAATCATGATATATTGCCAGAACAATTTTTTTCCACACCCCTATTATTTACAGTTATTTAGCTTTGCATTTTAATATATGTTAGGCTAAAAAAGTAATTTTATTATCTATACACTCAGATCCCATAGCTGCTTTAAATATCAGTTTGATGCCAGTTTATGCAGATTGTCTTTTGAGATAAAAAAAAAAAAAAAAAAGATCCGAAACTATATTGGATGGAAAATACAAACTAGAAGAAGAAAGTGTTTTTTCTGATCCAGTTACTATCTAACGTCTGACCTATATATTGTAATTTATCGTTACAAACTATTTTACACAGCTTTGTTTATTTATTTCCTAAAGCATCCTGATGGTGAAACGTCTTAGATCGGCGCATCTTAAGCTGATATTATTCTTCACAAAGCTNAATTTGGTTTCTTTAGAAAATATGCACTACCAGTAAACCATCATCAAATGGGTTCGCCTTTTTGTGTTGTAGTATTTAATTTAATGCAGGAGGTCTGGAGATGCTACATTGGTGTAGCTTTTAGGTCCTGAACGGGGGAGGGAGAGAGGCAGTTTCACTGGGGTCTCTGGACCTTGTTGATAAGGCTGGTAGTGGATGGGAAGAAACTATTCTTATTGCATGAAGTTTTGGTCCTGATGGATCGCAGCCTCCTGCCAGAGACTGAAATAGTTTGTGGCTGAGGTGTGAGGGAACAGCCACAATCTATCCTGCACTATAAGCTGCTAATGATAGTGAGCATGTTACCCATTCGACTGTCATGGAGGACCAGCACACCTGATTTCAGTTTACAGCAAAATAACAGGCTAAGCTGAAAGTTTTCTAAACCTGAAATCATTGAAACAGAGTTTTTCCATTTCACCAAAGGAGTTTACTCCACGTTTGCATCCGTTACCATAGAAACATTCACCCTTAAGCTAACCTGGTCAGAAGCAGAGCAGGTTAGTATGCTGATGAAGGTTCTCAGTCATCCAGGTCATAGTCATTCCGTAAAAATTCAAAAAATATCCACTGGACTTGGTTTTCAAGATTTGAAGACGTTTCGCCACCTCTCCAGGAAGCTTTCTCAATTCAAATGGAATTGAGAAAGCTTCCTGGAGAGGTGGCGAAACGTCTTCAAATCTTGAAAACCAAGTCCAGAGCAGGTTAGCTTTCTCAATTTATTATTAATCGATTAATAATCAGAAAGCAAAAGGATCCTATTAATCCAATTAATAGTTTCAGCCCTAATTCACATTTGCAGCATTACAAACTTCTATAACAGATATTTAACAGAACTGGATATCGGTGAGAGTACATTAATGTGTCCGATAACTGCATCATAGTGAACAACTATACAGTCACATTGCCACTTTGTATTTACTATCTAATGTACGGTCAGGTTCTACCTGATAGAACATTTTTATACGTCATTTTCACCGGCTGCCAGGTGATTTTACCAATTAATACATTCTTCAAGTATCATTTCAGAAATATACTAGTTTCGCAGTAATATTATTATGGTTACAACAGGCTATCGGAGGCTGTTTTGATATGAATTGGTTTGAGTAAATATGTATTTCTCATTTCTGAAAAAGACTTTTCCCTTTCAAAATAAACATTTCAAACAAAATCAAGTTCTTCATACCTAAAATAAACATTCTGGATGTTTGAAAATGTATTTCAGAGCTCCATGTTCCTATTGTTACAGTACATGATTTCTATTATTTTGATTGGGAAAAAATGTATTCCCGATATAAATACAAAGTTTGAATTTAAAAATATGAGGGTAAATGCCTTAACATTCTAATTTTCAACAGCTACAATTTAACATTAAACCAGTTTATTTAGTTTCCCCCCATTTTTGCAGCTTTTTTGTTTTACTAAGCTCTACATAATGTGCAGAATAGAATAATATTCAATTATTTACCGTTATTTACCTTTGCATTATAATACATGTTAGGTTAAAAAAGTAATTTTATTATCTATAAACCCAGATCCCATAGCTGATTTAAAATACCAGTTTGATGCCAGATTATGCAGATTGTCTCTTGAGATAAAAAAACAAAAACAAAAAAAACATCCGAAACTATATTGGATAGAAAAGAAAAACTAGTAGAAGAAAGTGTTTTTTCTCATCAGTTTCTCTCATGGGGGATATTTCCTGCATCCAGCTACTATCTAACGTCTGACCTATATATTGTAATTTATCGTTACAAACTATTTTACACAGCTTTGTTTATTTATTTCCTAAAGCATCCTGATGGTGAAACGTCTTAGATCGGCGCATCTTAAGCTGATATTATTCTTCACAAAGCTGCAAAATGCGAACCGAACTAATTAAATTAACTGAGCAATAAAACCACAGCAGATCAGAGTTTCTCTTCACCTATTCGGTGCAGGATGATGAGGGGAATCCGGCTGAAATCCACCAGTCTGCGCTGATCATCAACCTCTTCTTTCTGCTTGATGACCGATTTCTTCGTTTCTGTGAAGGTTTCCTCCGCAAAAGTTAACTGTTCACAACTGAGCTCCATCTGAAGCTGATCAGCTTCCATTATTTGCTAAGATATGTACCTCAAGAACCACAAACATAACATAACGGGGCGATAGAGCATACATTTCACTTCCTGTTATGGTTCTTCTTCTGTGTTTTATTGGCGGTTGAAAACCAACTTTAAGCGCGCATTACCGCCACCACCTGGAGAGGAAGGGGAACTGAATATCGATCTGAAAAATTAACAATACAGCAATAAATAAGTAAAATAAAATAAAAACCAACTTCCTATCAAATTAACCACTCTGTCTTAAATATTTAGTAAATTGCCTTGTAGGTTTTACTCTCAGATTAATTGTGTAATAATCCCATGAGTTCTAGTTTTACTTTCATACTGTTGAGATTTTGAAACAACACATCCCTCTCACCCTTAGTACACTGTAAAAATACATTCTCTATGGTTTTAAGTTATCCACAGTCCCATCTACCTGTCTGGTGCTTCAGTATGAGGAAAATAGATCCATTTAGAACCGTGTGTCCATTCCTTCTGCCACCTCGCCTTTATTTTCCTTCTTATTAATCCAATTAATTCTGTCCTACTGATATTAACATTCATTAAAAGAAATTATTGTTTTATGCTCTCCTTTGCCATCTTAACTGAGCTTTCATTGCCCTTGAACCCATAATTAGCAGGTAGCCATTTTAAAACAACTGAAAGCCTCATGATGTAAATTCTATGAAGAGTTTGTTGTAGTTCTAATAATATATCTGGTCTACCTTCTGTCTGGTTAAAGAATCTGAATGGAATCAAATGTCCAAAGTGTAATGCTCTGACCTCATCTATCCACTTTACAGCTTATAGTATTGCAAAAATCTATCCTGCATAAATGAATGTTTCATCACAAATGCTTTTTGCTACTTTAATGTAAAACTGAGGAACAATGAAGGGTATTCCAACTTGGTTAGCTGTATTTTTGAAGCACCTGTTTATATTTTCAATCATTGAATGCAGCTACAGCCTACTACTACTACCTTACGATGGCCAACTGAATTTCAAAATGTTTGATTTTCTCCTGACCTTATGATTCCTGATCGTGAGGTGGTCGTTAGAGGTTAATTGCCCCTTGTTACCCCTGTATACTACACGAAGCAGGACTATGGAAGTCTCATTGAAATGCCTTTTATTTGCACACCAAATTTTAAACGGTTAATTTTATTAGCACCGTATCTTTAACACTGAAATTTTTTACACATTGAATTCCTTAAACTGAACTTTTATCTGGTGAAAATTCAGCTGCAAAAAAAAAAAAAAAATCGCAAAAAGTTCAGCTGGAAAAAATTTGACTGCAAATGCGTTGACTTTTGGGTGAACTCAAGCCAAAGCAATCTACACTCCATGCAGTGGAGCAGCTTCTAGCCCATGAAATTAGCTGATTTTGTCAGAAAAAAAACTCCTCGTAAGCTTCATTCAGCCAGGAACAAAGCTATGCCCAACTGTTGTGTCACGTGACCAAATGAGCTCATATTTATTCTTATTTAGAGACAAGATCGTCTAAAGATTGTGATTATCACCATGAGCTACTCAGAATGGCAAACTACAAAACAAATTTAACACATATTTGTAAATTAACACTTATATGGATGGGATAAGAGGACATTAAATTACTATAACATGTTTAATACATGTGGAAATATAATAAAGTCGAAAATAAGGATGGATGTGGCAGTAAATTATGTCATATCTTCTTTATTCTGACATCATAGACATGAGGCAGGTTCATTCATAAAGGACCAATTACACATATGAAATACCCAAACTTTACAGTACATAATGGATATACCATTCAAAAAAAAATAAATAAATAAATAAAATACAAATATTAAATCTTCTTTGGACAAAGTGTTTTTAACCCAAATTAATAAATACTCAGCTACTCCTCAATCACATACTGCAAATTTAAATATTCTTTTTTTTTTTTATTATTCAGCTTTTTGATCAAAAGCTGCTGTTAACCAAAAATTGTCAAGAATAATTTAAAGGAAGATAATCTTGAACATCTACAGGCTTAATCACAGTAACAATTTTAACGTGAATATAAGTAATCGGAACTAAAGGCTAACCAGACTAAAAATGGTGTCATGTAAAAATATCAGTCGGGTTATTCTGATGAGATTTGGCAGGAACAAAATAAATCAATCAGACACAGGGGTGGTTTATGGTGACGGACAATTAGATTGGCATGTTTTAAAAAAAAATTTTTTTAGATTATGTCTCTCACAGTGAACATGCACCTACGATGACAACTTCAGGCCCCTTCATGATTTCTAAGTGGGAGAACTTGCAAAATACTTATTTTTCTCACTGTATCTCCCTATAAACAGAATAGTCCTTTTGTTTTTAATCCAATCACATTGCTAGCAGATTGTTAAATTGTAGGCATGTAATCATAGCCACTTTCTGCACCTGAAAGACAAACAGCCTTTAGCCTAGATGGAGTTTCATGTGTCTATTTAAACGCTGTTCTTGAGAAAAACATTTTCCACATGTCGCACATTTATGCAACTTGTTCTCTGAATGTTTTTTCAGGTGAATGGATAATTTTTGTTGAACACTGAAACGCTTTCCACAGGTCAAACACAAAAAAGGTTTCTTACTTGTGTGAATTTTCATATGATTGGATAAAGTTTGGTTTTTATTGAAATTTTTTCCGCAGACCATGCAGGGAAATGTCTTTGCATTCGTGTGAATCTTAATGTGATTAGATAAATTATATTTTAGGCCAAAACGTTTACCACAGGTCAAACAGGAGAATGGCTTCTCACCTGTGTGAAGCTTCATATGATTTGATAAACTATATTTGTGACCAAAACATTTCCCACAGGTCAAACAGGAGAATGGCTTCTCACCTGTGTGAAGCTTCATATGATTAGATAAATTATATCTTTGACTAAAACTTCTTCCACAGGTGTTGCAGGAATAAGGTTTCTCACCCGTGTGGATTCTTATGTGATCAGTTAAATGATTTTTCTGAGTGAAACTTTTTCCACAGGTTATACATGAATACGGCTTCTCACCTGTGTGAATTCTCACATGCTTAATTAAACTACCACTTCGACTGAAGCTTTTTCCACAGGTCACACAGGGAAAAGGCTTTTCTCCTGTGTGAATTTTCATATGATCAGATAAAACGTTTTTTCGACTGAACCCTTTTCCGCAGATCGTGCACAAAAAAGGTTTCTCGCCAGTGTGAATTCTCATGTGATCAGTTAAAGTAAATTTTTGTGTGAAACTTTTACCACAGGTGCTACAGGTAAACGGTGTCTTATTTGTATTCTGGGTCTTTGGTCTCGAACTTTGTTCACAGGTCACACTGGAAACAGGATTTTCAAATGGATGATTCGTAATTATTATCAACAAGTTACCATTTTGAGAAACGTTTTCATTTGACGTTTCATGCAAATACAGTACATGATTTTGAATCTCGTCTCCATTTTGTTTTAAACCCTCCTCATGCTTTACAGTTTCGTGACAACCGTTTTCTCCTGCTGATTCTGAGCTTTTAGGATTGCTTATTTCCTCATTCGTATTCTCCACTTTAACAGAATCTTGAGAGACCAGCTTGTCTCTGTTCGGTTCAGTGTTCAGAATCTCCTGCTTTAACTCCTTCTGCTTTTCATCATGGCTTGTGGACAGATCCTTTTCTTCTTTAATATGCAGATATTCTAGATCATCATGTTCTTCTTTTATCTTCAGAGGGCCTGGTTCCTCCTGTTTGAAACTACAGTTTCTTTCTTGGTCACAGATCTGTTGGTCGGCAAGAACCTCCTCCTCCTTCTTCACAGGGTGCTGTAGTGAGTCTGGAGACCAAAACGCAAATTATTATTATTATTTTTTAAATGTAGGTGAAGATGCTCTGAAATATATTAGAACCTACAACTACAAGGAGTTTTATTTGAAATTATTGAAAACATTAATCAAACATCTTGTCTATTCCTCCTGTAGCAAATATCAGGGCTTTATCGTATTGTTTTATGATATAATTAATCAATCTGTGTATCGGATAGTGACAAGTGTTTCTAGACCGGAATCATTTTACTAATTTGGTTTCTTTAGAAAATATGCACTACCAGTAAACCATCATCAAATGGGTTCGCCTTTTTGTGTTGTAGTATTTAATTTAATGCAGGAGGTCTGGAGATGCTACATTGGTGTAGCTTTTAGGTCCTGAACGGGGGAGGGAGAGAGGCAGTTTCACTGGGGTCTCTGGACCTTGTTGATAAGGCTGGTAGCGGATGGGAAGAAACTATTCTTATTGCATGAAGTTTTGGTCCTGATGGATCGCAGCCTCCTGCCAGAGACTGAAGTAGTTTGTGGCTGAGGTGTGAGGGAACAGCCACAATCTTTCCTGCACTATAAGCTGCTAATGATAGTGAGCATGTTACCCATTCGACTGTCATGGAGGACCAGCACACCTGATTTCAGTTTACAGCAAAATAACAGGCTAAGCTGAAAGTTTTCTAAACCTGAAATCATTGAAACAGAGTTTTTCCATTTCACCAAAGGAGTTTACTCCACGTTTGCATCCGTTACCATAGAAACATTCACCCTTAAGCTAACCTGGTCAGAAGCAGAGCAGGTTAGTATGCTGATGAAGGTTCTCAGTCATCCAGGTCATAGTCATTCCGTAAAAATTCAAAAAATATCCACTGGACTTGGTTTTCAAGATTTGAAGACGTTTCGCCACCTCTCCAGGAAGCTTTCTCAATTCAAATGGAATTGAGAAAGCTTCCTGGAGAGGTGGCGAAACGTCTTCAAATCTTGAAAACCAAGTCCAGAGCAGGTTAGCTTTCTCAATTTATTATTAATCGATTAATAATCAGAAAGCAAAAGGATCCTATTAATCCAATTAATAGTTTCAGCCCTAATTCACATTTGCAGCATTACAAACTTCTATAACAGATATTTAACAGAACTGGATATCGGTGAGAGTACATTAATGTGTCCGATAACTGCATCATAGTGAACAACTATACAGTCACATTGCCACTTTGTATTTACTATCTAATGTACGGTCAGGTTCTACCTGATAGAACATTTTTATACGTCATTTTCACCGGCTGCCAGGTGATTTTACCAATTAATACATTCTTCAAGTATCATTTCAGAAATATACTAGTTTCGCAGTAATATTATTATGGTTACAACAGGCTATCGGAGGCTGTTTTGATATGAATTGGTTTGAGTAAATATGTATTTCTCATTTCTGAAAAAGACTTTTCCCTTTCAAAATAAACATTTCAAACAAAATCAAGTTCTTCATACCTAAAATAAACATTCTGGATGTTTGAAAATGTATTTCAGAGCTCCATGTTCCTATTGTTACAGTACATGATTTCTATTATTTTGATTGGGAAAAAATGTATTCCCGATATAAATACAAAGTTTGAATTTAAAAATATGAGGGTAAATGCCTTAACATTCTAATTTTCAACAGCTACAATTTAACATTAAACCAGTTTATTTAGTTTCCCCCCATTTTTGCAGCTTTTTTGTTTTACTAAGCTCTACATAATGTGCAGAATAGAATAATATTCAATTATTTACCGTTATTTACCTTTGCATTATAATACATGTTAGGTTAAAAAAGTAATTTTATTATCTATAAACCCAGATCCCATAGCTGATTTAAAATACCAGTTTGATGCCAGATTATGCAGATTGTCTCTTGAGATAAAAAAACAAAAACAAAAAAAACATCCGAAACTATATTGGATAGAAAAGAAAAACTAGTAGAAGAAAGTGTTTTTTCTCATCAGTTTCTCTCATGGGGGATATTTCCTGCATCCAGCTACTATCTAACGTCTGACCTATATATTGTAATTTATCGTTACAAACTATTTTACACAGCTTTGTTTATTTATTTCCTAAAGCATCCTGATGGTGAAACGTCTTAGATCGGCGCATCTTAAGCTGATATTATTCTTCACAAAGCTTCAAAATGCGAACCGAACTAATTAAATTAACTGAGCAATAAAACCACAGCAGGACAGAGTTTCTCTTCACCTATTCGGTGTAGGATGACGAGGGGAATCCTGCTGAAATCCACCAGTCTGCGCTGATCATCAACCTCTTCTTTCTGCTTGATGACCATTTTCTTCGTTTCTGTGAAGGTTTCCTCCGCAAAATTTAATTGTTTACAACTAAGCTCCATCTGAGGCTGATCAGATGCCATTATTTCCTAAGATATTTACCTCAAGAACCACAAATAACGGGGCGATAGAACCTACATTTCACTTCCTGTTATGGTTCTTCTTTTGTGTTTTTATTGGCGCCTGAAAAGCAACTATAAGCGCGCATTACCGACACCACCTGGAAAGGAGGGGGAACTGAATGTCGATCTGAAAAATTGACAATACAAGAATAAATAAGTAAAACAAAAAAAGTACCAACTTCCTATCAAATTAACCACTCTGTCTTAAATATTTAATAAATTCTCTTGTAGGTTTTACTCTTTTATTAATTCTTTAACAATTTCATGAGTTCTAGTTTTACTTTCATACTGTTGAGAGTTTGAAACACCACATTCCCCTCACTCTTAGTACACTGTAAAAATACATGCTCTATGGTTTCAAGTTTTTCACAGTCACATCTACCTGTCTGGTGCTTCAGTATTAGGAATAGAGATCCATTTAGAACCGTGTGTCCATTCCTTCTGCCACCTCGCCTTTATTTTCCTTCTTATTAATCCAATTAATACTGTCCTACTGATATTAACATTTATTACAATAAAAAATTATTGTTTGATGCTCTCCTTTGCCATCTTATCTGAGCTTTTATTCCCCTTTACCCCATAATTAGCAGGTAGCTATTTAAAACAACTGAAAGCCCCATCATGTAAATTCTATGAAAAGTTTGTTGTAGTTCTAATATTATATCTGGTCTACTTTCTGACTGATCAAAGAATCTGAATGGAATCAAATTACAGAGTGTAATGGTCTGACCGTATCTATCGACTTTAAAGCTAATAGTATTGCAAAAATTTCTCCCACATAAATAGTTCATTCAATACTTTTTTGCTACTAAACCTAAAAATGAGGACGTTAAAGGGTATTCCAACTTGGTTAGCTGTTTTTTTTTAAGCATCTTTTTATATTTGAACATAAGTATAATATTGATTGATATAACCCTGTATTGTATATGCATTAAAAATAAAAGAATTATATTTTTTCTTTCTTTCTAGTAGTGAAAAATCAACTCTTATCTGCAGTGTAAATGTAACTAAGGGTGTCCAATTGATGTCATGTTACCGTAATCAAGATTAAACTCCCTAATTAAAACCTATAGTGCCTCCAAATATCCTCAACAGGTGAGAAAACAAGAGGGCAGCAGAGGGCAACAAATGAAAAACCTGGAAGACTGGAAATAACAACAAAATAATAATAATTAAACCACTAAGACTATAAAACAAGCAGCAAAGTAAAACTAAATTGCTTAAAAGCTTGCAAAAAAACTTCCCTTGTGCACAAAAGGAGGAAAGAAAAAATTAACTTACCTTCTTTGATTAACGTTAATGTTAAAACATGCCGGTTACATTTCCCCCTGTCTTAATCTTAATGACCTCTCATAACGGTGAGTGAGAAAGATGAAGGAAAATAAGCTGTATGAGCACTTTATCATTTAATCCAAAACAATTCTTGAATTAAAGTTATATAAAAATATCTGAAAGAAAGATTAACTATAACCAATCATAACATTTAGCCAAATCTATATTTTTGTCTGCTTATTGTCTAGTTATGAAAACACTAATAAGTTTATGTGTTAACCCGTTCAAAAGCTAGGAGAAAACACATAAGAAATCAGTGAGTGGATGTGCCAAAATCTTTCTTCAGCTCAATCAAAAGAAAACTGAAGTAAAACTTTTTGGACCAAATGAAAAACATTTTAGAGCTTGCTCACAGCTTTGCTTAATACAGCTAGAAAACACTAAACATCCTTTAAATCTAAGGTGTAATGATGGAATCAGACCTGAACCTTCAGAGGCTCGTAGACAGTTACAAGGTCGGCCTTCTAAAACACATCTCCAGGTTTAAGGACCATAGTCTCTGCAGGCCCTTAAAAAATAAATTCATAGTTTATCTTTAGATGAATTCATTTATGAATTGATGAATTTATGGAACAAACTCTTAGAAAACAAAAGTAAAAGTGTTGAGTTGCTTTATGCAAGGATTAGAAATATGTATTTGTTCAGAGTGGCCTTTGACTCTGCTATCTAAACATTAGTTTAGGTTGCAGTCAAACTTTTCTCAACCTGCCTCGATTCTGCCACTTTACGTATGTATTTTCCTCCACATTTTTTCTTCTCTTAAGTTCTTCTCATCTTCAGAACTTTGAATTTGTGTTACTGAAATGCGATCTAGCTACAAACAGACTTGTCTGGCCTTATTGCAAGGCTGACTATGCATTGCTTCTACCTGCTGAAAATAAAAGCTACTGTTAAAGGGGATCAGGTCTTAATAGCTTGAAGAGAAAAATAGGTAAAATAGATCTCATGGGTTGCTTATTTTCCCTTTGCTTCAGAAACACAGAGTTTTGCTCAAATGTTTGAGCTAAAAAAACAAGTTGATAGTAATGAACAGTATGGAGTCCAATCTCTACTCAAACTGACTATTATTTTTAGACCCTTTTTCTATTTTTCTCTGTCGAAATGTGACAAAAAGGGGAGTCTGATATGTAAGGATGGATGGAGAAAGGAAAACATTGAAAACATCTCAACTTGGCTCTAAATTAGACAAACAGGTTAGTCCTTGGAGGACATATAAGAAAATAAATACCTATCTTTCTGGAGCAATTTGTAGATAACAGTTAAAATTCCTAATTTAGGATAAAGAGGACTTTACCCTGTGAGAGCGTCTATTACACTCAATAAATAAATAGGCAATGAAGCTATCTTATGTGTGTTTACATTAGAGTGAGACTGCCATCTACTGGATGTGATTAGTTAAAAAGATAGGATATATTTTATGTTTATTGGTCTTTACTTTTTCAAGTCTACTTAACATAATTTCTGTATGGATGTCAATTTTTGTTTGATCTTCCACTGTTTTATTTAAACTTTTATATTCCTTCTTAAAATAAATCCTTAAAATATTAAATAAAAGGCCAAAAATCATCCTAAAATTACATTGCCTGCTAGGTGTTAATTGTTTGTAGCACGGTTGCCTTGCAGCAAAAAGATCCTGGGTTCAAATCCTGCCTCAGGGTCTTTCTGTATGGAATCTGATTGGCAAAAAATGAAATCCAAGTAAACCAATTTTTCTTAAATTAAGGGCATTTTTCTTCAATTAAGCAGGTAAGTGAGACACTTTAACAGTGGAATAAGACAATTTAGATTTAAAATAATAAAAAACAACTGCAGTCTCTTAATTTTAAGTGCATAATATCAAATTATATTATTATAAGGGTAAAAATACAAATTCCATTGGCATATCATCCTTTATACCTACTTAAATTAATGCGAAAAATGCTTATTTTGAGAAATATTTCCTAATTTTTTGAATGTTTCTTTGTTTGGATGTTCTCCCTGTGCATGGGTGGGTTCTCTCTGGGCATTAAAACTCTAGGTATATAAAACATGACTGTAGATTACTCTATATGTGTGTAGATGTTTTAAGGTCTATGTGTTGCCATGGACTAGTGACATATTTATCTGTTTTTATTAACATTTTCAGAAAACTATATTCGGAGAATCATTTATAGACTTAAGGTACAGGAATAACAGGAGGGTTTGATTACTGTAATTAAACTATTCAAATAATTGCTGACTCTCATTTTGAAAGTATCGACTAGTTCTGATGCTGCCTAATTCCAAACTCTCCAATCTTTCACTTCCTTCACATATTTGTTGTACCGGTATATAGGATTCATGTTAGGACTCCTTGTGCCACACCCTGTTATTTTGACACGCTTTAAATATTACATTAAATCTAAATCTATTTTGTTTTTTGTTTTTTTGTTTTTTGTTATAGGATTCCATGACACCCAGTGAGATTTCCCATTGATCCAAAATCCAGAAAACATCTTAAGTGTTTTTCTCTTACATCACAGAATGCATCTCAGAATACCTCACAATTGATAATTGTGAATAAGTTGGAACGGGACATAAAGAGACAATATTTGAAACATTCATAAACAATGAATGGTGTAAGCAGTTGCTAACATTAAAATTAGGAAAGAGATAAAACAACAGAGAGCTTGTTTTATCACTTAAAGCTTAAACTTAATGTTACCAAACCATGGAAACCACCACAGACCTGCAGGTTGCAAAGTCTATTGCATCCATGTTGGTCACAAAAGTGTTAGGTCAGTTTTTTTTAAATGGGTACATTTTCTTTTCAACAGACTTTGCATCATTGCAGAATGTTATTGCAGAGTGCCGTAGGTTGAATTTGGAAGGTCATGAGTTGGTGTGTTTTGTTAGGTTTAGTGGTTTTCCATTTGTTTGCTTTGGGTTCTGCTTTCAGTTGTAGTTCCTCTTTTATTTTGGTAATCTTCTTTCTCTGGTCCTTTTTTATATGCTTCCTGTTTCCCATCTAATATTTTTCTATGAGTTGTTTTCTCACTTTTGATTAGTTAATGTCGAACACACACAGTCATATTCAGTTTCTTGTTTCTCTTATTGTGGTGTTCTCCTCTATGTTTCACCAGTATTATCTCTAAAACTCGTCATTCAGGTGAAGAAGGCGTGTGTTGATCTTTATCGATCAGAAAAAGACTGAAAAAAGAATGGATGACTTTCTACTGACCTAAAGTTTTCCCACAAAAGCAGCTATAGCAATTATTTAAAAAGGTCTTAGTACTACAGATATGCATGTTCTCTTGAGGCTCATAAATCGGAGTGAGGAGGGGAGGTCACTCCAGACAGCAGGTGAAAATAACTTAAATAATTTATTAGAGATCAGAAGGTGATGTAGAAACCTTATCCACAGTTTCATTTCCCAATTCCAGTAGCTGCTTGTCTGTGTAAATCAAATTATATTTTAAATGTCTTTGTAGAACTTAAAATAACCGCACCAACTAAAGTAACAAAACAATAATTTTTTTTTTAAGAATAAATTGATATAACATAAAAACTGTTTTTTTATGTTTCTAAAGAAAGCCTGTTTTAGATTAGGCATTCTAATTACTTGGATTTTTAAAACATATGATCAATATGTGAACATTTCAAAGCGATGAAATAAAATCTTTAACCTAAACCTCGACCCATAAGGCATCTTAAACGTAAATGGAGGTGACAAGGGAAAA